TTTCTGGGCGATTTCATACCAAAATCATTTTATGGGCTGCAAAGAATTGTGCTGCGGGCTGGATGTGGCTTTCGGGCCTTGAATTTGACATATGTGATCAAGAAAGTAAATGATATACTTATTTATGCTTTGCTAGATTAAATGGCATTCCTGTATTGTGTGACTGCATTGAAGGTCTTTGAAATTAGATGAATTAAATTCTTCCTGTCATGCTATTTCAAATTCCACTTCAACATCCTGTGGAGTTTGGCCAATTCAAATCCCATTTCATGAATGGAATGAGGCACAATTCATAAATGCCAAACAACCCTGGTACATAAGCCAACTAACCATTTAAAGTGAAGAAGTGAATCACCCCTTCATGTGAAAGTAAAAGGTGTTGTACGTACATGGAGGGTGACGGTTACACACCCAGCCTTTGTGTGTGATACACATCTGAATTCTGTGCTATTTAACTCTCAACTCTCACTTTAAAGGATCAGACAAATGACAAAATTATCTAGGCATTCTCTTGGTCTTTTCTCATAATGTTACTATAACTATAAGAAAACATTTATGAAGTGTGAAATAAAATAAGGCACGAAAATTACGTTCTAAAACTCACGAAAAATAAGTACCGCTTCTGAAACTTAAAAAAAAAAAAAAAAAAAACTTTTCATTAAAGTTGTGTAATACTATTTAGCTACAAAATGATTTGCTTATCTTTCCTCCTTAGCTGAAATAATTTGAGGAAACCTTATCCAGTATAATGCCTATACATTGCCATTAATAATAATACTTGGATCATGTTTTGACCATTTTGAGGACATCAGTACATAATTATGTATTCCTGTAGGATTCCCAAACATATAAAACAGCTCTATCAATTTAAGTACAGTGGTACCTCAGTTCTCGAACTCATTAGAACTCGAATTTCTTAAAAGTCGAACCAACCAGTTAGAAAAAAAAATTACCTAGAGCTCGATCTGAATCTCAGAATTTAAACCGTGAACGCCGACCTAAGATAACTTGTACGCGCGGGGAAATGAGTCACGCGGCACATCTCTCAGCGTAAAGAAAAGGGTAAAGCTTCAGTCTCAGCCTCGCATTCGGTGCATGTTTACACTAACTGAATACATATTTAGACAGTAAAAATACATTTAGACAATGATAGACAATAACAATAGTAATTATTAATATTATATAATATTGTTGTGCCGAGCGGGGACAGAACGGAGACAAGGGCGCAGACGTCAGGGTATCGGGGAATACGGGGTTTAATTGCAGGTAAGGCAGGCAAAACGCAGATGGACAATACAATGACCGGACTGGGGAAACAAACTGAAATGCCGACGAAGTACAGAGGACTAATGACAACAACCAGAAACAGCTGATCACACGGGGATTCCACACGGGGTTAACGAGGGGGCGTGGCACACGGAAGGAGCGGACGATCGGGGCAGGACACTTTTTTACTTTAAAAATTACTGTTTTGATAAATGTGCTTAGATGTGTTTAGTACAGTATATACTCTTCTTGTTTTGTCCGGTTCATTTTGTGTTTGAATGCTAAAAAAAAAACACAACATTTCGGTGTAATTTTTTTGTGGCCGGGAACCAATTAATTGGTTTTCCATTATTTCTTATGAGGAAAATTCGATCAGAATTAGGATTCGGTCTAGAGTTCTGAACGGATTAATTTCGAGTTCTGAGGTACCACTGTATATCCCTTCAAATAAAATGCCTGAAACTTAAATTAAAATATAAAAACAGAATTGAAAAATATTTTTAAATAACTAATAAAACCAAACTTAAAACTAAAACTAAACTGGATGTCAAATAACATTTATTTTTAAAAATAAAAACTAAACTTAAAAAATCTACACTTATAATAGCACTGGTTCACACTGCTTTGTGATCTATTCTGAGCATCCCAATGTGATACCACACACAGCAGAACTTCATGTATTTACTGCAGAACAAATAGGAGCAAGGCTCATTCACTTAATGTTTGCGCTTCTTCACTTCCCAATTAATGACAAACATCCAACATGCCATCACACACAACTGGAAACATATAGAAATGTGACATTGGCCACAAAAGCCAGGAATTACATTATGGGGCAAAAGGCCTACACACCTAGGGAAAGTAACATGACTCATCAGTATATTCAACAGGCTCATGGATGAGTACATTAGAGATAATAAATCACATTAGATCTAGCTACTCCAGTTTACTATAATAACAGAATGACTCATAAATGGCATCATGTGACCATTAAATACTCTTTTTTTTTTTTTTTTTTTTTTTTTTACACGAATACCTTCCCGTTATACCGCATTGCTCAATAAATTAATGAACATTATTCACAAAGCTCTACCCTATAAACAATGGGCTATACACTATAAGCAATGGGTTATATAAACAATGGGCTATACCCTACAAACATGGTTCTATCCTTATAAAGACTAGGGACCTATATCACAAAGCATCATTTCCTGCTCAGCTGGACGCACCGTGTCTGTGTGCTGCTGTGGATGGACACAGCTTTAAGGGTGAGGCACTCCAGTTCTACCCACGCTGTTCTTAGCAAATGTCTCTAATCCAGCTCCTGAACAACAGAGCTGAGCCCATTAACAGGTGTTGCCAGCTGGCTGAGGGCAGCAGAAAGCCTGGCTTTGGCTTGTGTCTCAGGATTTCAGTGGGAGTGAGGATGGTGGGTGGGACAAACAAGCAGAGCAAGCTAAGTATTACCAGAGACACGGGCGTCATGCTTTTATGAGACCATTTCTGTACTGGGGGCGAAAAGACAAACAGGGGAAGCATGTCTCGCAGATGGTGTGTGCGTTTTCAGACGTCAAACACTTTGACATGCATTTATTTACCGGATACTTGTGGCCAAAGCAACCCAAAAGTGAAGAGAGCTTGGGATCAGACGGCAGGATCAGCAAGCATCCAGCTGCCCTGTTGCAGTTTAGGTTAAAGGCCTTGCTCAAGGGCACAACGGTGATATGATTACTCTGGCAAGGCACAGGATTCAGAACCACAACTTTTCAGGCACAAACACTGGTAAGGCCTATTCATTTGTGAAATAAAAATGAATAAAATGGAGAATGTGATAAGATCAAAAATATGAGGTATGACCCCAGTAGGAAAAGAGTATTTATCACTGTGGGCTAATATCTCTCCCCAGTTCTCTCTCTCTGTGGGTCTGAAGCCAACTGGATTGGCACAACCCTGAGTAGTTACCGGTAAGCGGGCAGAAGGTCAGGCAAATGAAAGGTGCCAGAACTGCCCACAGACAGGTATAAGCTAGAAAAGGGGGAACAGCAGCACAGAGAGGAGTACCTGGAAGTGGAAGATTCCGGCGTACAGGGAGTCAAAATCCTGTCCGTGTGGAACCACCCGATGCAGTAGGTTGTCATTAAGAGTCAGGGATGCGATTGCTGCTAACAGCCAGCAGTCACCTAGCACAGAAGCAGCACATCATTCACCTGCACCCACACACTTGTATGCATGTACATAGCCATTTTAGCAAAAACACTAATGCAACCATGCTAACATCAAGAATAATGCACAGCAGAGCTGTACAGAGAGGCCAAACAACAAGTAAAGAACTAAGCACAGGAATACAACCACAATATACAGAATTATGCACACAGCCATGCTAATCTACAGACCAATCAACTATATTAATGTGTAGATCAATGCTCACATACTAATATGTTAACATGCATCCAGAGACAAGTACATACTGTAACACTTCTACCCTAAACAAGGGAAATACATTATATATACATATACAGTACTTTGCAAGTCTTAGGCAGCCAAAGAAAATTGTTTAAATGATCTTCATGCTTGTGTAAAATTGTGCTATTATGCCTGTCAAAGTGAGTGAGCTTAGCCATTTCAGTACTTCTGCTAAACTCACCCCAGTATTTGCAACAACCATCCAAAACATCCATGTGTTTCTTAACTAGACCAGTAGCACACCTTGTATAGCTAATCAATATATATCATTGACTTTTTGAACTAATTGAATTAATGATTTAAGTGAGGTGGTGGTGAAATTTAATAAATGCATGGAATGGCTGGGTGCCCCTGAGGAGAAGTTTGGGACCTGGTGTTCATGTACAGTAGCCATCAAACAAGATACCACAAACTTTTTGGAAAACGGAAGAAATTCTTACTAGTCGTTTCTCTTAATTTGCATATGTTCAAATGCTAAGTAGTGCTTTGTTCTAAGCAAAAGTACACTTACTACTCATAAATAGCTTAATATTTCTTTTCACTGCCTATGATGTTTGCACAGTACTGTACATATATACAATCACAAATACATTTTGTGACTGGAAAATAAAGTGAACTGTGGTGTTAAAGCTTGGATGCTGGTATAACACACCAACCTGACATCCATGAATAAATGACAACCAGCCCAAGCCGAGTCAACTGCGCAAGCAAACAGGGAAGACAGGTGAACAGCAGAGCAGGTTACCGGAACATTCCATTCTTGGCCTTACATTCAGTGGCAGGTTAAATATTTTTCCTCATTTGGTAACAGCTGGACCCTACTTCCCATTCTGCCAATCTTTCGTAATTTACTATGTAATAATCCTGATCTTTGAAACTTCTGGAATGGTCAAACATATCCCATCACAGGTCTTCTGAGCAAAATGACAGCCATGGCACCTCGGGAGGCATAAGCCCGACACCGGTACCATCAGCCCCATGACAGCCATGGCACTTCGGGAGGCGTGAGCCCAAGGTCGGTACCGTCAGCCCCATGACAGCCATGGCACCTCGGGAGGCGTGAACCCAAGGTCGGTACCGTCAGCCCCATGACAGCCATGGCACCTCGGGAGGCGTGAACCCAAGGTCGGTACCGTCAGCCCCATGACAGCCATGGCACCTCGGGAGGCAATTCAACTTTCAACTGGCAGTAATGGTACTATTTCTCAACCTGGTGGTGGGGAGGGGGGGTTGCAACCAAACAGTGGAATGGTATAATTTTTAATTCCCTGTAGGCAGTTGGTGACCAAAGCCCCCCAGCTGCATGGCCTGACCCTGATTTTTATCTCTAGAAAGCATTTCTATTCCACAATTAAATACATAAGGCTGTTCAGCAAAATTACAAGAAAGCACTTAATCATACTTTTTGTAACGTAGAAAATACACTCACGGTTGCAGCTGCAAGCTTTGCCAGCTTCCTTGAGCTCTTATACAAGTTGCCCATTTTTCTGCAGCTCTTATATCCTCAATACATTTCCAGCTTACCAGTAAATGTTGTGGCCCACACGCTTAGTAGATAGGCTGCAGTCCCCTGCTGCTCCTTCCTGACATCATTAGACACCATACCCAGTGCGTTTTCCTTTACTGCATATTATTTAAGGCATCTATTAATTATGATAAGAATGCACATGAATGTGCTCTAAATTTGAGGATTGGGCTGAATTCCAATACCCCCTCCCCAAGAGTATAAATATAGCCTACATGGGAGTGGGGGTAGGGGGGGTCAGTGTGAATTGAGGGATCACTGGTCTGGAGACAATATCTCCACACCTATTGATGCACCGTAAAATCAAAAATGCCCAGATGCTCTTTAAATGCAAAGCATGTGATAAGACCACACTCCCACCATGAGGCTAATCTGATATGTTGCTCTTGGAGTAAGATTAGCCAGTCCTGGTCTGGAGGAGAGTAATGATCAGGAGAGTATGAGGAACAGAAGCTCACCTAAGGCTCCCTGGCAGATGTCCGTACGAGTAGCCCCATTATCGATGAACAGTGGTCTGGAGCAGATCTCCTGTAGTAGAGGTTGCACTTAAGTGAGACAGTGGTAAGACTCAGCACACACTGCCCTGCTGCAGATACTCATACATAAAAACACTTTTTCTTAGCTTGGGTTCCCCGTGCATCTTGATCTCGGAAACCAGCCTCACTCATGTTAAAAATAAAATTGAACTGAACGTTAGCCGTCTTTGTAACCTTGGAATCTCACATTTCCCACGGTAATTTTGCGTTTTTAATAATGAGTCCAAAACCTAGTGCTCCTACTGCATATAGTAGTAACTTTGGACAGAGCATTATCTGGATGGTTTGTCATTTCCTGTGTAGACCTTTATATATAACAAAGTAATTTGACATGCAAAGTGTACAGCACAGTACTGTTTGTTTAAAAATTGGCAATAAATAGATTTATGTGATTGTTCATGATAGCAGTTATGGGTGGCCAAGTATTATTTGCAAATTTTCACATTCGTGGAGATCTTCTGCCCATAACCATCATGAATGTATAGGGGAAACTATGTATAAAAGTGTGTTTATATCGGGAACTTTTACTGAGTATAAAGAGTAGATAAATTGAGGTTGATGTAAACATTGGGTAGCGTTCCGAAGAACAGGGTAGAGATTGTAAAATCCCTGAGAGGGGACTGCTTGAGAACAATGGCATAGGAGAGAGTTTGATATTGGGGAAACCAAAACTTAAACTTAATCATTTAAAAGGTCTATTTATTAGGGAATGAATGAAGCCAAATTAAATACTGGGGGGGAGGGGGGTACACATCCCACCAGCTGCCCCAGATCCTATGCCCCTGGTCGAGAAGCATGTCTCACCGGGGGTCGCATCCAGCGCACTCTGTGGGTCTTGGAGGAGGAGGGACCCAGTTCCTTAAAGCCGAGTGACGAGGCCTCGGCTGGAAACATGTTGTCCTCGAAAAGGCACCGGCGCTGCAGGCAGCTGACCTTCAGCGACTCAAAGTCCTGGCCCAGGTACTTCACAGCATTGTCATTCTGCCCCAGACCCTTGTCACGATCCCACTGGCTCCGCAGCTTGGCAGCCATCCCGGTGGCGTATATGGGCTCCATCTCTTCGGCCAATCAGCAAGCGGGAGCACAGAGATTTTTGCTAAGGGAGCCAATCCGGTATGCGTTAGCAAGAGCATGGTACCTAGTCAGATAAGTGTTAGAGGAAGTGCTCAGATAATGATTGAAGGAAGGGATATGAAGCAAGGAGAACTGTAACAAACTAAAACAGAAGAAAGGACTATTTGGTGGCAAGAAAAATAAAATGCTGATGAGTGATGACAAGTCACTTGTACAAAAGATTCCAGATGTACCCAAACTGAAGTCGTATTGTAGTCACTGAGTGAGTATTTACATCTCCATTTAGTTGAATGCACATGTGGGTGTACTTTGCGTCAGTGGATGCACACAATGTACGTTAACACTGGTCATGCACCAACCAATTGATGTAATGTCCTATTTAACTGATATATTATTCAGAAAATCTACATAAACATGGATACACATAATTGTAGAACATGCAAGTGCAAACCTGGCGCACATTGGCTTAGACTAGCTTAGCCACAGGAAACCAGTTCCTGCTACCAGAAACACCCACCCATCCATCTCTGCAGCACTCATTCAGGTCTGAGGCGTGGGGCCCTAAGGCTCTCCCAGGTAGCATAGGGCACAAGATTGTTACACACTTTATATGGGATGCCAGTCCATCACAGGACACATTCCAGAAACAGTTGACTGCAGCTAGATAATCAGCTGCTTTAGAAACGACGTCACTGTATGATGTCAGAAGTGAGAAGCAGGAAACATCATGCAATTCTAGCACTACAGGGGCCCCAGGTTCTGCTATGAGGACATCAGCATATGGCTCAGCGGGCTAAGCCTCCGTATCTGTGATCAGAAGGTTGCTGGTTCAAGCCTGGCCTCATTATGGAGGTGGGTCCTTGAGCAAGGAGCTTAACCCCCAGCTAAATAAAATTAAATATTAAGAACCGCAAACTGCCGTCAGGAGGCGAAGAGACTACGACAGGAGCTGCACCCGGTATACGCGCATAGAGGGCCGGTGTAGGTCCGCCCTTTATATGGCGTTACTTTTAGAATACCGCCTACTGAGTTACACCGGTATATTTTCTATAAAATTTATAAAATAACTTAGGCCTATATACTGTAAAATATGTATTCTTTATTTATATAAAAGCATCGGGGTCGTCTGCAAACCATACAGACTATTCACAAGGGAATAAAACTTACGTACATGTAAATGAGTGTGCAGACTTGTCTCGAACAGAAAATCTCACCCCACCCAGCTGACCAAAGTTGGCAACCCTGATACTACTGTATTATACTCATGCTATGAAACATCACAACTGATGAAATAGCTATATTTTTCATTAAATATAAATAAACCAAACAGACTTGCATATGACATTTTCATTCAACTCGATCAAATCAACTTGAGTTCTCTCAAAAATAAGTATTGAAAAACTGAAAACTAACTGGGTTGTGCTTATTTCCACACCTAGTTTACTCCATGACTGTGAACTTTTCAAACATTTTAAAAGAAAAACAGCCGTTTCCATTCATTTCAGAAAAGCACTGTGGTTTTTTTTAAACCGGTTACTGGCATTCTACACAGCACAGTTTGTACTAAGAATTGCTCTTTCGCATCATCTGTGAAACTTCTACAAATGCCGGTAAGTTTTTGCATGCCTAAAGCCGACTGTGGCACAGACATAATAGCAAAACATTTTACAGACTTCACAGGCAAAACCGCAAGGTTTACATGCTTGACAAACATCTCTAAAAGGGTTTACGTCATTACGTCAATGATCCAATCATGCGTTACAATCAAGTTTATCTAAAGATACTACTCCTGACTGGATCACTTTCATTTTCAGATCAATTCAGTTCCCGTCTTGTTTTTACTCCTTGACGGACGTGTCAATAGTACATTCTGACAGTTTTGTCAATCAAAAAAAATCCTTTACATATCAATTTTATTACAGTTGTCATCAATGAAATTAACACTTAGTCGATAAAGCTGGTAAAGTCGCGCCTCCAGTTTGGGGACCTCTGACATAGATAATAAAGAAGAATCCTGTAGTTAAATTGCAGTAGGTTTGATCCTCATGCTGCAGAGTGCTGTGTATTCTGGCTTTTGCTTAGTCTAAATACTAGGGTGACCCTACAATCCACGTCAGGGGGACACTTTGAGCTACTTCAGGTTTTACAAACTACTTTAAAACTGAAAGGCTCATGTGCTTCACTAAACAGTTCAGTTATTGTGCTTTGACTGGTTTGATTGAAAGACTCATCCAGCTGTTTCACTTTAACATTAGTGGGACACACATGATTTATAGGAGACTGACCAATCAGCACAAACAAGGACTCAGTGCTTAAGTGAAATCTAGGTCCTTCTCATTGAAATGGTAGCTTACAAATCCTGTTCCAGCTCATCCTCTCTGAAATGGATTATCTGGTTACCCTACTAAGTACTAAATGCATGAGTCTTAAACATGTTGTTCTGAAACTTTTATAAAGCTTTGAAACAAATATACATATACTAGCAGGTACAAAATGACAAGTGATACAAATTTTAAAATTGTGTTAATCGTGATTTAGATTATTTGCATGCATTAAGCAATAGTAGTAATGTTTAGGACAGGGATGGCTAGTCTTATCCAGAAAGGGCCATTGTGTAAGTGAGATTTCACTGTTACTCCCCAATTAGATTACTAATTAGAGAACTGATTGGTTGTAGAGATATCACACCTGGGTTTGAACAGTTGATCTACAGGTTATCCCAAAAACCTGCATAGATCCATGATCTGTGTAGATAAGACTGGCCACCCATGATTAAACAGTAGTGAAGCAGGAGATCAGTGGACTGCACTACAGCCTCCATCTCCAGGGTTATTTACAGGTGATTGCAGGATCTACCCCAATTTCTGTTGGTTTTTTCCAGGTCCTCCAGCATCCTCCCTTAGTCCAAATACATGCAGTTACATTAGCAGGTCTCTCTAAATTGTCTATTGTTAATTCAGGGTGTTCCCCAGCCTTGCGCAATGCACTGCCTGGGACTGGCTCCAAGTTCACCATAACCACAATGAAGATTAAGCAATCATTCACCCCTCATAGATACACTACATAGACAAAAGTATTGGGACCTACCTCTTAATCTAGCGGTGGCCAATCTTATCCGCAAAGGGCCGGTATGTTTGCAGGTTTTTGGGATAACCTTTAGGTCAGCTGTTCAAACCCAGGTGTAAGGACTCTTCAGCCAATCAGTCCTCTAATTAATGACCTAATGAGGGAGTTGCAGCAAATACCTGCATGCACACCAGCCCTTTGCGGATAAGATTGGCCACCCCTGTCTTAATCATTAAATTCAGGTGTTTCATTCAGACCCACTGCCACAAGTGTGTAAAATCAAGCCCCTAGCCACACAGCCTGGTTTACAAACATTTGTGAATGAATAAGACTTTCTGAAGAGCTCAGTGAATTCAAGCATGGTAGTGTTATAGGATGCCACCTACAATAACATCATCATCACAACGATCAGTTTGTACTATTTCTTCCCTGTTATATATTCAATAGTCAACAGTAAATGGCATTATTGCAAAGTGGAAGCATTTAGGAACAACAGAAACTCAGCCACAAAATGGCAGACCACGTTAAGCAGGGGTGTCAAACTCCAGTCCTGGGGGCCGGAGCCCTGTGTAGCTTAGTTCTTTCCCTGTTCCACCACAAATCATTGAGCTCAAGAGCTGTGTGGTAATTTAGCACAAGGAGACGCAGAGAGTTGATTCAGGTGCGTTAAATGAGGGGAAACCCAAAAAATGTGCAGGGCTCCAACTCTCCAGGACTGGAGTTTGACACCCCGGACGTAAACTAATAGAGCGGGATCACCAAGTGCTGAGGCACATAATGCATAAAAGCTGATGACGCTCTGGTGACTCAACAAATACAGATTGCCAAACTTCCTCTGGCATTAACCCCAGCACAAATACTGTGCACCAGGAGCTTCGTAGAACGGGCTTCCATGACCGAGCAGCTGCATGCAAGTCTCACATCACCAAGTGCAATGCCGAGCTTCGGATGGAGTGGTGTGAAGCCACAGGAGTCTGGAGCAGGGGAAATGTATTCTGTGGAGTAACAAATCACGCTTCTCTGTCTGGCAATCTGATGGACATGCCTGGGTTGGCAGATGCCAGGAGATTGTTACTTGCCTGACTGCATTGTGTCAGCTGTAAAGTTTGGTGGAGGAGGGATAATGGTATGGGGTTGTTTTTCAGCAGCTGGCTTAGGCCCCTTAGTTCCAGTGAAGCTGAGCTCTTAATGCTTCAGCATACCAAAACATTTTGGACAATTATATGCTTCAAACTTTGGTGGAATAGTATGGGAAAGACATTATTCTGTATCAGAATGACTGTGCCCCAATGCAGAAAGCAAGGTCCATAAAGACATGGTTGGATGAGTCTGGTATGGGAGATCTTAACTGGCCTGCACAGAGCCCTGACCTCAATCCCATTTAAATAGAAAGGAGAGTGTGAGCCAGGCCTTAATGTCCAACATCAGTGCCTGACCTCACAAATGCTCTTCTGGATGAATGGGTAAAGATTCCCACAGACACGCTCCAAAATCTTGTGGAAAACCTTCCCAGATGAGTGACAGCTGTTAGCTGCAAAGGGGGGACCAACTCCATACTATTGCCCATGGATTTAGAATGGGATCTCATTAAAGTTCCTGTAGGTGAAATAGCCAGGACTTCCAATACTTTTGTCCATATAGTGTATGTCCCATGATGCAATACTGATATGTCCAAGGTTGTGCATCTTGGGGTCAACAAGTGTTCTGGATCTTTCAACATAAACCCTCATCCAGGTGACCCAAGAGAGCCTGTGTCCAATGAGCCTACTATTGCCACCACCGGTCACCCCATTTAAGTCAGAGCCATCTAGAAGCTTCCTCCACTGCTTCTACATGTTGTTTATGGCTCTTCTCATGCTTTTTCCAGTAATGTCTAATGATCTATAGGGCTTAGAGGGCGTGGTCTGCAAACCCCCTACAGCCCACCTCTACTGGCATATATCTGGTTTTCCATCCATTCCTGCAGCGGTCCTCTGCCAGCTCCTGCTACTTTGCCCTCCTTCTCTCCTGTGCCTCATCTATCCTCTCCTCCCAGGGCACTGTCACTCCAGCATAATGAGCTGCCTCTTGGCCTCCAAGACCAAGACAATGTCTGGTCTAAACAAGAAGAGCAGGAGATTTTTATTTGGCCCCTCTCAAAACACAAGGGCTAAGCTGGTGTGTCTACTTTGCCCCATGTACACAGACTGGACAGGTTGGGTAGGACATTCTATTCTCCCAGAACCAAAACTTTGATCCTTGGAGGGGACCCGCTTCCAGATGTCCTGCCAGGTGTTCTTGCATGCCATTGCCTGTTCCCACCTCATCCAGGTGCCCTGTAGACACATGGCTACTGTACTGCAGAATCTCTCTTCCTCTACTGCAACTCACCTCCTCCACTCCCGCCTCCTTTACCAACTCCCACCTCTCTCTCCTGCTGACAGTGTCATATCGGGCTGATGTTAAACACCCAAGAGAATACTTTGGATGCATTCCACTTTCTTCTAGTCTTCAATACAATGCCTGCACTAGCCACTCTGGTGTCACATAACCTGGTGTACTGCAGGTGTTCTTGTAGTGTTCCAATATGAATTCCTCCTTGACACAGATGAACAAGAGCCTGAGAGTGCTGTGACAGTATGACCCTGCTCAGGCTGCACAGTAGCCCTAACCACCTCCTGGTAGACTTTGCTGTGGAGGACCTTGTACTTCCCGGGGACTCCTGACTTGTCCACCACCCTGAACCATCCCTCCAGGTTTGCATTTGTGTCCTTTATGGAATCATTCAGGCTGCAGCTGAAGACCATCCTAAGACTTCCCTGGCTTCTCAGTGATGGATCTGGAATCTGGTCATTGCTGAAACTAAATCTGTTCTGTCTGTGATCTCCCTCACACAGATCACATGTAACAGACTCAGCTCTTCCTTTTACCTCAACCACATCATTTTTTCCATGTTACAATAACTTAGACTACAGTTTAACGGCATATATTCACCAAACACGTCACGAGGTCAGGTTAAAACCCCAGTCTAAAACATACAGCTTATGTGCATATTTGTTTACTCGCATAGCAAGACCAAGATGACTCGGCCAGGCTGGCAGGCCTAGGCTTTGAACTCCACAAGCACAGAACTTCAGTAAAGGAATCGATCGTATTTCTCGTAACATTTAGCCTAGCCAGCAGAACAATTATTTGAAAAACAGTACATAAACACATAGAGACATAAGCGAATACATTTTTCAAGATGCTTCCGGAACTTCTGCGATATCCACACAGTTCATACGTTTCAAATTATCCACGAACAAGGCTGTTCGTTTTAATGTTAGTATGCAGTTAATTAGGGATGCACATAAGATAAAAGAAATTTTTGCAGAAACAGAAAGTCAAAGTTCTGCGTTATTTAACCACAAGCTTGCGGAAACATATGAACACCAACATGTCGGAATAACTTCTTTAACCTACTTGCAGCTGCACAGGGGATAACAAAGCCATTTGTAAACATCAGGTATAGTTTCGTAAAGCATATATAACAAATCACGCGCAAAAAAACGACTTTAGTTATGAGAAAATCTCTTACGTTAACCATACAGTTTTCAAAAAGTTTTTACGTAGCACTTTACCAGCTATTACTTAATGTTTCGATAATATTTTTATACTGATAATAATATGGTTACCTTAACTGGGGTGAATGATCCTTAATTACTGACGGTGCCTAAGGGATGCTTTTCTGCGGGCGGGCGGGCGCACGCTGTCTACTCTAAACACCAAATGTACATCCTTCGGAGGAACGCAGGCGTTTTCTTTCTGAAATCCTCCCATGACTGCGGTAGTAGACGAGTCTGCGCACTCACCTTATATTTTTAAGTTGGAAAAACAAGTGCTTAACAGGTTCTTGAACCAACTTTTAATTAGTGAAACGTGACTGCAACTTTTGTTTAATGTATCGCATTAAACGCCGCTGTAGAGCCATGGAAAGTTCTTACTTCTGATTGAAATGCCTGAAGCCAACTGTTGTCCTTACATGTTTTAACTTTAAAAATATTCATAAATAGTCAATTTTATTATTCTTGCCATCCACACACCCGTACTTTGTATTTTCAACAGAGGTTTTGCATATAAAATGGGTGACTCGATCAGCCAGGCTGGCAGGACTAAAAGCCTCCATCTACACTTTAAACTCCACAAACACAGAACTGGAAGTTAAGGGATCGATCGTTTTATTCGTTTACCAAACAATGCATACCACATTTTTTGGAAAACAGTACATAAACACATAGAGACATAAGTAAATACATATTTCAAGATGCTTCCGGGAATTCTGCGAGATCCACAATGTACATGCGTTTCAAACTATCCAAGAACAAGACCCGTTTTAATGTTACTATGCGGTTCATTACAGATGCTCATAACCAACATAAAATTCTGCAGAAACAGAGAGTCAAAAGTCCGTGTTTCTGTATAACCACGGGTTTGCGGAAACAAAACACCGACAGGTCGGAATAACTTGTTTAACCCACTGGCAGCTGCAGACTTTGTGATTTTTAATATAACACTGCTCTCGGTGAGTCCAACATTAGCCTGCTCAACGCTGCCATCTAGTGATAAACTGCAGTAATTGATTTTAGAAAACAAATAATACTGTCACTGTACTATTGCCAAACACAACGAAATTCTGTTTTTGTATATCCTATCTTGTAAGGAACACAGACACACATGTACATCTGAGAGGCAAACTTTGAAGCTATGGGATTTGAGTGTGCGGTCTTCAGGACACAGCAGGGCTTTGCGAAGGTCTTTTAGGACACTTGCACAAAGTACCGGAAAATTGTCGACCAGGAGGTGGTAGCGATGATAAAAAGCTGTAGACCGGCGAGGACGGGGGTGTGTTGGTTTACAAAGTCGCTAGATTAAAAAAGTAGCACTCAGTATCTCCAAAAGAAGGCATACACTTTTAATAGTTCGGGCAAAAGGGGACAGCTGTTCAGGCACAATTTTATTTAGCACTGTATAACGTTGAGAGAACATTATGATATTATCAAAAAGCATGCGAAATACTCATGATGTAATCATCACGATGTACTTATTTGAGTATGTATCTGCGCCTTATGTTAGCTTCAAAGTTTCAGTTAGCTAGTTTATGTAACTGGTTGTATGAATAATAAGTCTCTTTCGGGTGCTGTTGATAAATACCGCCCCGACATCAGAGACCCGATTAATATGTTTAAGTCACTAACACAAGATTGCGATCTAAGCGAAGCAGTACAGTGGAAAATGCCGGTCTGTAAGTCCCGAGAAAACATATGTTTAAATACCCTTTTATTATATTTTTGTAGATGTTCAATTCATTGTAATTGAACCCGTTAGGTTGACCACAAATCCCAAAATCCCCGGCATTGGTTCGTTTCCGGGTGATGTTTCTTTGCTTCCCGTGATGCCGTGCGGACTTCCGGTGTCGGTCGTTTTTTCCGGGCTGTTTGTTCGAGTGTGTGTGCATTGTCGCCGGTTGAAATCCTGTTAAAAATGGCGAGTGATGGACCGCCAGGAACCGAAACAAACTCTACTGATATGGTGGGACTGATTTCAGATTTGAACACATGGAGTAACCCAGAGCTCCAGGCGAAACTTGCCGAAATTGGAGCGCCAAGCTTGGGTAAGGTTTTGCAAGGATGGCCCCGCAAAGGCCCGCTGGGCCTAGTACAACGACAAAGTAGTGGAAAATGCACATGTACAATGAGGAATCTCCAATAGACCCGGAAGGCTGGTCTGAACGATTTAAAGGCCTTCATCATTATTGCTCAATGTTGGCATGAATTAAATGAGAACTGAATGCCGAATTTGCGCTTAATGGGTTATGCAATTCATCTCTGTACTTGTACCTCATTGAAGCAGTCTTTTGTGCTGGAACCTCACACCTTTCTCGGTTGTTTCCGTTTCAGAGGGTTTAAGCTAGTTTTAGCGCATTACTGCAATAATTAAGATGCCCTATAAGAAAGTATATATCACAGAGACAATATTATGGAGTTATGATGTAGTCTAGCGATGGTTAGTATATTGACACGCTGTTAATGAGTTATCAAATAATGTATAATGGTGTTAAGCAAAATTATTATGTCGTGGCACACTATTTCTGACAGTAGGTTTTGCTCCTTCTGCACAGGCCCTAGAGAAGAACTCATTGACAGGCTGAAAGCCTATGTGATGCAGGTATGTGACAGTGCATGATCCTTTTCCTTTGTTTGTGTTTGTTTGTTTGTTGCTCCAGTGCCTTATTTTTATTGTTTCTGTAGACTGGCATGATGCCCACCAAACCAGACCTGCAGACTACTGATGATCAGCCACCCCAGGTTAGGGACACGACCCCTTGTTTCACAACAGGACTGCTGAGAAAATGCCTGTTCTTTATGTGAGAATTAAAATGTAATTCTGTAGCCACACAAATATGAACATCCTCTCAGTATAAGTTGTTTATGGAGCCATGTGGAAATAATGTGGGTTGTTCTGTCTCATATTATTCTGGCTGTTGTGAGAGAAATTAGTGCGGCTGCACATAAAGGATGGTCAGTTTTATAAGAATCTCATAACCACTCTAATTCAATGATGCAGATGCCAGGGCTGGCACCCATGCCCGGTATGCCATTACCACCTGGAATGGGCATGCTGCAAGCCATGGGTATGATTGGGGCACCGGCTCCCCCTGGGATGCCCATCTCCATGGAGCCACCAGGCCTGTCCCAAGAGGACCAGCTGAAAATGGTGCAGCAGAGGGCTGCCATGATGCTGCAGCAAGAGGAGCGAGTTAAACAGCAGGTAGCATGTCTGTGGGACAGCCGGCTCAAGGCCAGAGGCTTTCTCTGAGTCGGGATGCTTGTCTTCTGTCCTTTTAATTCACGGTGTTATGTGGTGATAAGCCTTTAGGTCACCAGTGTTTAATGTCATATTTGCAATTTGATTTTATAAAAAATTAAAAGGAATTAAATTGAAATTGATTTATTATATTTTTTATGTTTTTATAACTAAGTACTTGTTGATGTCAAGGCATAATAAATGCATAATATCAGGCATAAATGCATGGGGATGGCCTAGACCCCTATTCTAGGCAGTGTGGGGCACAGGGCAGGGGCTTACCTGGGACGGGATGCTAACCTGGCACCTGTACATATTGACACACTAAGGCCTGAAAATATACACTGCATACCCTTATATGTCGTCCTTTGTGAGTTCAAGGACCAAGGGCTGCATGCAGTTGTTTACTTTATGCATCCGTTTCAGGGAGAATCCCGTACCATGGAGGAACAGATGAAGGAGCAGGAGTTGCTTCAGCAGCAGAAGAGGGTAAGGATGGTGCACAGAGGCCTAACGCAAGGCCTGCAGGCCGGGGCATGTGCTCCGCTTTACATTTACACCAAGGCGTCCTGGAGGCACCTGAGGTCCTGTGCTCAGCCATCTCCCCTCTCTGACAGGCAGCAGAGCTGCTGGAACATGAGCGGCAGCAGGAACTGGCTAAGATGCAGCAGGGTGGACCGAGCCCTCGGGCCCCCAGCATGCCCCTGCCCCCCCTGCCCCATCTCAACCCCATGAGAGGTCAGCCCATGGCACCTGGTAAATGTAGTACACCGTCCGTCTCGCTTTGTTCTCATTTGGCAGTTGTTTAATGTTTCTTAATGACAGCCTAATAATAAGCAAAACAAATGGTAGCAGCCTACCTCCAAACTCAAATAATGTTTGATATTGCCATGCCCACACACGGCCTTACCAGCTCACAATTAAATGTGTTAATAAAACTAATATTATATAAAATGTACATTAGGCTACCCTGCATAGTATTGGGTTTTATAGGCTACCTACGTGCAACGTCCGTTTTCCTTTGATTATCCGATTGGAATTCCTACGCGAAGGCGAAGACTAGTGTTTGGTGCGGTGCTTTATATTACTGTGTAAAACAAGGATATCCTCCACAGTTGATGGCCTCAGCTGACTACTTCAGCATCCATTTCGAATAACTGCAGGAGATCGCATGCGTTTTTTGAAAATGAAAGTGGGAGAGATTTCCGGGAATGCGGAATCAGTATTAAACTGATATGGATTTTACGTTTTATCACCTTGAATGCAGGGATTTTGTCACTAAAATATAGCTCTAGGGTATTTTTTGTTGGCACATGATGTTTTAAAAACCGCAATTTAGCTCTCCTGCGTCCGACCCGAACCCGTATCCGACACAGAAGAATATTTTTCACCCGTTTAATCAAAATTTGCGGGTCACCCGTCGGGTACCCGAACCCGTGCAGGACTCTGCCTGGCAGGACCTTTATGGGAGAGATGGTCATACTAATATAGATGGAGTTATGACACTAGTCTAGTTCTGTGTCTTGTTTTCTGCTTACCTACAGTTTACAAAACCAACCTGTGTTTTTAATATAAGATAAAACCAGGGAAGTTAAGTGAAATGTTTTCATATTTTTTCTATAATTGCAGATTTGCACAATAAATATTCTACGTTCATGACTACTTTGAAATGTGTTAACAGTTTATTATACAACTTCCTGCTGCAATGCCTTTGCTATGGACATATATTGAAATTTACAGATCAAATCATATAGCGTCTACCGTCTATGGTTCAAATTGTACCGCAATATGTATTTTATGCCATATCGCACAGCCCTACCCAAAAGTTAGTGATCTGTATAAATTTGGCATATTTTTGTTTATTAAATTTGGTTAGCAGAGCACACAACATAATGTTGTTTCGGTATACTATGGTTTGGTATACTTTGGTGCGATAAGCACTCTAGCGGGGCACTCCACATAATGTTGTTTTGGTATACAGTAGTTTGGTAT